ATGCAAAGAAACATGTATCATACCATTTGGGTCTGAAACATGACTTTGAAGTCATATGGACATTTTAGTGCAAGCCACTCAACTAGTATGCAATGGACAGAGAAGACTTCCAGGTAAAAATTAGAGATGATTTAATTGATTGGTTATTTTCAGCAAATTTTATTTTAAGCCCTGTTTGAAGGTGCTTTTAATATATCAACTCGTCCAACTATTACAACTCAATGATATGCATGCCATTACTACTCTATTTTAACAGATTAGGGAACAGGCACAGAGAAGTCAAGAACTTAGGCACATGGCTAAGAAAGAATTTGCTTGTACTATTACATAAAGTCTATAATTATATGTCATTCCTACCGGTTTGAGTCATTTGGTAGATTGCAAAAAGAAACCCAATTTTAACCTATTTATACAATTTTCCAGTTGAAAGAACAGAGGATGAAGTAATATAATAAAAGTGGCAGGATTTGAGGTGATTACAGCTTTGCTCTGCAGTGTAGGTGCTGAAATTTTAACAGAGAAAACTGGTCTTTTCCTACTCCTTGTTTAAGTATGAAATCCAGTGAGAAGAGCATATAGTTCTGGAAACACAATGAATTCTAAAGTATATTGTAAAGAGGTCATAAAATTTGGAGTTAGAAACCAATTCTAGCCACTTGGCTTTGAGCAAATTATCCAACTTTATTATATGCCTCATTTAATGAAGGGAAATAATAATATTATTTCCAAAGTTATTACAGTGAAGAGAATACTGAAACAATATAATTGGTAAAGGCCAGCATAGAGAAGATAATTGTTAATTTCACCCTTATCACAGTAGTACTTGTGGTTAATAAATACATAATTGCAGTTGATAAATACATAATTATTGAGGAGGGCTTACTCATGTCAGAACTTACAATGATAGAATCCTCAAATGACTTGGTAAGGCTTACAGATTTAAAACTAGATTATTCAAGTAATTGAAGAGCTTCTGCAGAAAGCAGCCCTTGAGAAACCTTCTGGGTACAAGAACAAAGCTGTGATTACAGCTGAAATTAATATTGGACCCCAGGTTTACTAGTAAAGGCAAATGGAAATTCTGTGTGTTAGCTATCATTTGAAATTCAAAAATGCAAAACAAATTTGCTTCTCTTATTTGGTTCTTTCAAATGGAGGTATCTTCTGGGTACCATGTTATCTGAATAATAACAATTTTTTTGCAGAACTTATGACTGGATAAATGAGTACTATTCAAACTAGAAGCATATAGTGAGCCAAAAAGATGTGTGATTAGCCTTCAAATGCCAAATCTAAAAAACACACACCCGCAATACAAATAGTTTGCCTAAATTACCTTAAATGGGAAAGACCAAAATGAATGAGATAGAGAGAGATAGAGATGAGACACACATACAGAGAGAGAGAGAGAGAGAGAGAGAGAGAGAGACAGAGAGACAGAGAGAGACAGAGAGACAGAGAGAGAGACACACACACATACAGACAGAGAGAGAGAGACACACACACACACACACACACACACACACACACAGAGAGAGAGAGAGAGAGAGAGAGAGAGAGAGAGAGAGAGAGAGAGAGAGAGAGAGAGAGATGTAAATAATACTGCAGTGAGCATAGGGGTGCATATATTCTTTCAAATTCATTTTGGGCTTCTTCAAATATATACCCAGAAGTGGACTCACAGGGTCATAGGAAGTTCCATTTTTAAATTTTTGAAGAAACTCCCAGCTATTTATGGTGCCAGGTGGGTACCTGAAATTCCAGGATTGGGGAGAAGACATTTTGTAAAGTAGATGATTATCTAACCACTATGTTCAGCTGAAGCTAATACAAGTTAATACACACATTTGTATGTAAACTATAATTGAAAAATAAAATTCAGAAGAAAATAGGTAAATGTCTAAATGGGTGCTGCAGGGCCTTTGAAGCTTAGGACAGATTTATTGTATTCAGGGTCTCCTTCATTCACGCACCAGGGTCCTATTCAACTCCGGCTTACACTTCCCAGCTCTCCGGGCCTGTGGGGTCTCTGACCACGCAGTTATAACCAGGGCTGAGGTGACATTTTTTAACCTGGGGATATAAGGACTGCAGAGCCCATCAGTGCAGTCAAGCATTTCACATCTTGGTCACTAAGAAGTAACCTAACATATCAAAGGAAGTAGATTTCAATATGGCTGAGGAACACAAATTAGCAACATTGATTTCATTTTGTGGAGTGGTGGGGTACTTCTCTCCTTGGATTGCCCCTCACATTCCTTTTGGTGGTGGTGGTGGCAGTAAAGGTAGTAGCACATTAATAGTGGTGGCAAATGTGCTAGTGGTTATAGCAGTTGTTTCTTGTTAATAGTAGATGCACCACCTGTAACGGTGACTGATATTTATTTTAATTTTACATAATAGGAGAATCAAGGATTGCAATTATTGCTTTTACATACTAACAAAATCTTTTATATTTTTACTTTGTTCTTTGGGGAAATTTTGCATCTTTGAAATTTAGGAAATTTTCATTCTGGAAAACTTTTTTCCTGATAAAGGAAGCAAGAGTTAATGATTCCCGCCAAGACTGGTTTGGCTCAATGGATAGAGTGTTGGCTTGGGGACTGAAAGGTCCCGGGTTCAATTCCAGTCCAGGGCATGTACCTTGGTTGGAGCATATCCCCAGTAGGGGGTGTGCAAGAGGCAGCTGGTCGATGACTCTCTCTCATCGATGTTTCTAGCTCTCTATCTGTCTCCCTTCCTCTCTGTACAAAATCAATAAAATATATTTTAAAAAAGTCAATAAAATAAAAAATAAAAAAATAAAAGAGTTAATGATTCCCATGATCTGAAACTGGGTGTATAGAAGGTGGAGAATAACTTTTTGTCAAATCTGTGTAGGAACATTCAGTGACAAATTATATATATATATATATATATATATATATATATATATATATATATATATATGATTTTAGAAACTAACAGTAAGAATTGAGCATCTGAAATTATCGATGGTTGTGCATTTTGCAACCCTATTTTTAGAAATTGCTGATGCTTTTCTTAGAGTTGTTTTGGAGAATGAATTTTGTATTGATTTAAAATCATCTTACTCCTTGAGTTACTGCATTCTTTATTCAAGTCAAGCAAAGTTTTTTCTATTAGTACCTGGAGACTATAGAGTAGAGAAATAACTATCCAGTGCTACTGCCCCTGAAAGAACATTTGCAAAGTATAATTTATTTTTTTCTTAAACTATCAGACTTTTAGAATTTTTCTATCCATTTTAATGGTGAAATTACAAAGGCATGTTGGTGAGGATCAGAGAAAAAAAATAAATGATAGACCTTCAAAAAATAGTTACTCTTCATCTTTATAATTTTAAGGATGTGAAATTGGGCTTTGAACTTCAAGAGTGTCTCTGAAAATCTACAGGGAAATTAAATAAAAGTAATGGCTGCACCACTTTATGTAACATCTTTAATACATTTGAGCTGTGTAAAATTGCAAATGGACAAAATTCTCTTCAAAGCATAAGAAATGTATTTTGAGAACTATTATTTATCAAATAAGAAACAAGATCTAATCAACAATCAAAATACATGTTAAGACTTTCCTAACTAAAATACATGTTTAAGGTAAATAGTTAGAATTAAAATGTGCCTTTGATAAAAACTTAAAAAGAATTAAAGGAGATACTGCTAGAAAGACAAATGAATTTTAGTCAGTCATTACAGATTTAATTTTCCAATAATTCCAGTTTGTAATTGGAAACAATAAAATCACAATATACAATGAAAGCTTTATTTGGATCATGAAGTGAGATAACAAAAGTTTGAACACTTCTAGAAGTTTAAATCCTACCTAATTTTGTGTTTTTAAATCTTGCTTGTTTTATCAATTATTGTGAAAATTAAAAAATGATTTACAATAGCCTCAGATATCTAGTTACCTTATGATTGCCTAAACATTACACAAATAACTTGCACTTTCATAAATAACTTGCTCTGAATTTTATTTTGTAATAGTGTGTGTTCGCACATGTGTGTGCCCACTTGCATATATGTTCTTAATTATGCATTCCCTAGATTAATATAAAAATGAGTTATTATTCCCTGAGCTGACTCTCCTTTTAGACTTAAGACTTGGAGGCAAGAAACTGGAATAGGATTAACAATTTGTCATGGAGCATCCACAATGTAGATAAACCAAGTGTGGATAATTGAAAGTGGGTAAGGTTGTAACATCAGAGCTATTGAAATTTAACTCGAGAGGAAGTTCTCCATAGTAAATTTCCTCTCATTATCCAAAAGCTAGGTAGGCTGCCACTGGTAAGCAAAGAGGCCTAATGCAATATCAGTGTTTTTACCATCTTATCTGAAAACATACAATCTTTATCTTTTTGATGAGGTGTTAATATTATAAAGAATTATGTAACCTGAGAAATGTGCAAGTTTTTTTCTTGAGTGTATGGCTTCCCTTCACCTTTGTAAAAAAGATGTCATACATTTTCTCCATTTTAGAAATGGAGAAGGATATGAAAAAATTTATGAAGATATATATGTGTAGCTTCTGAAATGGCCCAAGCTGAAATTGCAATTTAAGAAAATAAAATTAAACATCACAAAAGTATAAAAAAGAGTCACATGTTAGGCTAGTGCTAAAATAACAAGCCATTAATAATGGCAAATTGAATGCTGGAATTACTGATAGTACTATACTAATCTTTTCAGCCTAATAATCTTCTTCCAGATAATAGTCACTTTGTCCACAATTACAGTTGTTCATAATATAGATTTTTGATTTGATGGTCTGCAGGGTGCTACCAAATCCTACGCAAATGTGTTATTTAATCCAAACTCAACTATTGTTGAGTAGACATTAAGACATTAATTTTATTCATTTTTTTTAGTTGCTATGATACTTTATTTTCAAAATAAGATTGCAACTGAGTTCGACTATTTTAATTGAAACTATATCTGGGCTGTTTCTTAACATGTTTCCTACTTTTCTAATTATAGGTTTCATATACACTGGAGAAGTTGTACATCGAATGCTGACAGCCACACAGTACATAGCACCTTTAATGGCAAATTTTGATCCCAGTGTCTCCAGAAATTCAACAGTTAGATATTTTGATAATGGTATGTATTGATTAGCCTATTTTGTATTGAATGCATATTTTGTTTATTTATTTTTGGGGTCTTCTTTTTTAAAGGAAATCTTTATTATTGAAAGTATTACATATGTCCCCTCTCTCCCCTCATTTGGTCCCTCCTAGCCCACCTCCATCCCCCACCCCAAGCCTTCACCATGAATGCATACTTTTAAATGGTGATCATCAAATTTATATTAATATTTATGTAACCTGGAGTATTTTTTTAGTTTTTTGATAGATTGATTTATAAACTGCTCAGTGCAAATACCCTAAGATAACAAAGTTATACCATAACACTTAATATACAGAGTAAATAGTCAAATGCCACTTATTTTATTCATTCATTTGATTGTTCAACAAATGTTTTAGTAAGACATATTAGACACCATAGTAAATGAGTTTGCTAAACAGCACTTCAAACCAAGCAAGTACATTTGATGCTATTTTCAGTAAGCTCCTGCTATTAGAAAAACTAAATAAGGATAACTTGTTCTGATCCTCAAGTAGAGGCAAGTGTCATAAAACATTGATATTAAATTTACAAAACTTATGAACTTTATATACCACAAGATGAACACACCTTTAAAAAAATATAGGTTAGTGAATAGTAAAATACATGTAAGAAAATCTAGTTTTCCTGCCCAGGCCAATGTGGCTCCATTGGTTGAGCATTGTCTATACACCAAAAGGTTGCCAGTTCAATTCCCAAGCAGGGCACATGCCCAGGTAGTAGAAGGCATGCAAGAGGCAGCAGATTAATGTTTATCTCTCACATTGATATTTCTCTCTCTTCCTCTCCCTTCCTCTACCTCAAATCAATTAAAAAAATTTTTTTAAAAAAAAGAAAGAAAATCTAATTTTCCTAACTTTAAAATATGAAATAGAGCCTTTTAAGGTTTATAATGTATACTAACGACAATTTATCCCTAAAATTTCTCTTGGGAACATATATATATTATGCATATTGTCCTCAGGAGATCGATTGCTAGCTATGATGTGCGCTGACCACAAGGGGCAGTGTGGAATGCTACCCTGGCCAGTAGCCAGCAGGAAGGGAAGGGAGGGCTGGCAGCCAAAAGGCCTTGATCAGCCCTGATCGCTAGTCAAGCATATGGACCCTATCCTTGCACAAATTTTGTGCACCAGGCCTCTGCTATAAAATAGTCAAATAAAATCTATATTATATCACAAAATGTATTCAAATCTAAGTAAAAATTTAAGGTCCTGAAGACAGAAATGAATTTTCATGTCTAGATCTTATTGAAGCCTCTAACTTTAGTAGAGAAAATAGGAAAAAAAGAGTTTGCTTGGAAAGTTAAGATGGAAGTACAAACTTCCAGTTTTATTTTGTCATTGGCATGTAAATTACAGCATGGAATATAAAATCAATAATATTGTACAATCAGGGATGATTACTGGACTTATTGTGGTAATCACTTTGTAAAGTATATAAATGTTAAATCACTTTGATGTATACCTGAAACTAACATAATATAGTATGTTAACTATAAAAATAAATTCAAATTAATTAATTAATTGTGTAAAAGATATACATGTCCAAATACTCTATAATATAAAGATAGTATTTATTTGTTCAAATAAAAATATTATCTTTTAAAATAATGGAAATATTTGGTGTGAACAAAGCTATTTTTACACTTGTCTTTATTATCAAGAAAGAAATTCATTAGTGGGTAGTACACACAAAACGGGGCAGTTGTTTGGGGAAAATGTGAACATTGTGCTAAAAGCCAAAATGTGAACATTGTGCTAAAGGCCATTTTGGCCTTTTATAGGTCAAAATATGAAAGGAAGAAGGAAACTAAACAGAGTTAGAAATATATTTTGAGAACTGTGTTTCAAACTATTTGAATAACAATAAGGTGTGTTCTAATATTAATAACTCTGAATGTTAGCCATAATATTAACTTTCCCTAATTATTTTAATAATTGTTAAATACTTTATTTTTCCTCCTTGAAAAATTTTATGAAGTGCTTTTGGTTGGCCCTTTGAATATCCCACCCCACTCCCTCTAGCCTGCAAGGTTTCTACTGAAAAATTCAATGATAGCCTTATGCAGATTCCCTTGTAAGAAACAGATTGCTTTCCTTTGCTGCTTTTAAGTTTCTTTCTTTGTCTGTAAACTCTGATCATTTAATTATAATGTTTCCATGTGAGTCTCTTTGACTCATCTTGTTTGGTATTTGGGGGGCTCCCTGGATTTGGATGTCTGATTTTGTCCCCAGGTAGAGAAATTTTTCAACCACTATTTCTTTGAATAAGATTTCTGTCCCTTTCTCTCTCCTTTATCTTTCTGAGATCCCTCAAATGTAAATAATGATCCATTTGATAATGTCTTGCATGTCTCTTAACCTATTATCACTCCTTTCATTCCTTTTCCTTCCTGCTCCTCTGATTGGATGAATTCCACTGCCCTGTCTTCAAAAGCATTGATCCTATCTTCTACTTAATGCACTCTACTGCTGAACCCCTCTATTAAAATTCAGATCAGTTATTATATACTTTAGATATATGATTTCTATTTAGTCGTTTTCAATACTTCTCCTGTCTTTGGCTGAAATTTTCACTTACCTCATGCATTGCTCTTCTGACCTCAGTGATCATCTTTATGACTCATTTTGAACTCATTTGGGAAAATCATTTACCTCCATTTCATTAACATCTGTCCCTGGAGATCTTGTTCTTTTATTTGGAACATATTTCCTTCTTTATTCTTATTTCTTGACTCTGTGTTGGTTTCTGCACATTAGAGAAAATAGCCACCTCCTCCATTCTTGTCAGAGGGTTCCTGTGTAGGAGGTGACTCCTTCAAGCCATGGCCAGTGCACAAAGACAAGCCTGTCTACTATAGGCCTGTGGAACTCAGCAATGCAAGTTCCTGGTTGCCTCTCAAATGCTTGTGTTTGTCTAAGACAGTGTTTCCCAAACTTCTCTCATGATGAGAATCACTAGTGCTCTAAGCACTAATTAAGTATACAATTTTACCTATATGTTCCTAAAAATTCTAGTTTAACACTTCTTAGTTGGGATTCAGGAATCTGTATTTTAACTATTACCAGGTGATTCTCATCGTGAGAGAAGTTTTGGAAACACTGTTCTAAGACATCATCTTTATTCTCAGTAGCTGAGAGTGTTCTAAGATCTCTCAGTGTCCTAAAGGGGACATCACAGTCAGCATGTAGGTGCAAGCTGATTTGTTGCTGCTCTCTGGCAGCTGCTGGGAAAGCCTGCCATCAAACCCCTCACAGGGAGAAATTGGAGGACATGCATTTTTGCTTGCTCTCTCTGCACTGTATCTGGAAGTTTAATCTTGGGAGTGCTTCTGCACACATTTCAAAACGTCTTTGTTTGCTCTAATCTCTGACTTGTAAATGCTGACCCTGTTGGCTAGCAGAGGAAGGCGATTTGTTTTAGGGGCCCAAACCTCAATGGCAGCCAAACAATTTGGGGCACTCCACATATACAGCGCTCCTTTAAGATAAGTACTGGCAATTTGGTTTTACTGTTGGAGTGAGCTGCAGGGAGAAGGTGGAGCAGTAGATGAATGCTACTTAGCTGCTGGATCCTCATGCAGCTGCTTATAAAATATGTGGTCACATCCCTTAAATGAAAAGACTGGGGCATGGGCATTTTTTGCCAGCTCTCTCTCTGCTAAATCCTCAGGATGGAGGGGGATAGCCATGGCTAGCGCCAAAGACAAGACTGTCTGCTACAAGCCTGTGGAACTCAGCAATGCAAATCCTATTGTCTCTCACACCTAGCAATCCGGGACCTGCCCCGCAGTGACTCCACAAAACTGGGTGCCCGACTTGTGTGGAAGCTCCTTCCAGGGAGATGCTGGTGGCCTTGTTTTATTGTTGTCATGAGCCAAAGGGGGAAGGCAGGGGAACTGCTGCCTGGCTCTTAAGGGCTCTAGAGAGGATCATAGTCAACACCTACATATATGCAATTTCTTTTTTTTAAAAATTATTTTAATAATTTTTTATTGACTAAGGTATTACATATGTGTCCTTATTAACCCAAATTCCCCCCACCTCAGCCCCTTCATGTCCTCTTCCCCCCTGCTGTCTGTGCCCACTGGTTAGTCTTATATGCATGCATACAAGTCCTTTGGTTGATCTCTCCCCCTTAACCTCACCCTCCCCTCCCTTCCCTCTGAGGTTTGAGGGTCTGATCAATGTGCAGTTTCAATGCAGATATTTTTTCAGTCACCCGATGCATAGCAGTCACTCAGCTAGTTTCTGAATTTCTTTCAGAGGAAATTGCTTTGTGTGTAGCTATGTAATGTCAACGTAAGAAACATTCAAACCTATAAAGAATTTTTTATAATTTTTTATGTTATTTTTTTAGTTTATTTCAGCCAAATTGTCAGCAAATGCTGGGAAGCAGAATCTCAATGGCTTGAGATAATGCTCTGGAGAACAGCAGTTTTCACCTTGTTTTATACATTGCAATCAAAAGAAGTGACATAACCTGGGTGGTGTGGCTCAGTTGTTGAGCATCTGCCCATGAACCAGGAGGTCACAGTTTGATTCCCGGTCAGGGTACATGTCCAATTTAGGTTCAATCCCCAGTGGTGGGTGTGCAGGAGGCAGCCAAATGATGTTTCTCTCTCATCGACATTTCTATCTCTCAATCCCTCTCCCTTCCTCTTCTAAAATCAATATATATATATATTTTTAAGAGGAGATGTAAATGGATTACATGAAATCCATTGGTGATAGATTAGGGAGTTAGGAGAAAGCAAAATGGGGAAACTCTGGGATTGATAAAAAGTAAAATGATAGACACATACTCCTTTTACTTAGGTGGGTGCAGGACAGTTAACAGTCAACAATTAACTCAATAATAATGGGGGATTTGTGCTGTCTGCAGAGTGGGGCCTGTGCTTTGAGGGGTCCAGAAAAAGGAAAATTACTTTGACATTCCAAAACACATTATCATAGATGCAAAAAGACATGAACAGGTTCAGTTAAGGTAAAGATTGACCTTTGTCAGGGAAGATACTGGCCTAGGAAGTGACTACCCACCATAAACTGCTTTTAGTTTAAACATGTTTCATTTCAGACCATCCTTTGTGGCTACCTTAGGTCTCTGAATTTGTCAGGCTGCCCCACAGACCCTGAGCGAGTCAGGTTAGCAGGTGAACCCTTTTCATCCACAACAGTTAATGTGTCAATTGAAGAAAGGAAATTCAGGAGCCTCCTATGTTGCCATCTTGGTCAAAAGCTCTCAGGGTAAGTTAGACTCAAAAGCACAGTAAAGACAGCATTCTATTCTGCATGGATCATCTGATACAGAAATTAGCTAGGGAAGAGTCAGAGGGAAGGAATGCATAGAGTAAAGTATGTGGGAAGAGGTGTGGAGCATCCATGCCCGCTCTGGGCATGACTCTCCTAGCACCTCCACATCCTCACCAACCCAGAAGCTCTGTCATAAAATCTTGATTTTTTTTTTAAATCAGATATTTACAGACCTGGAAGACTGGTTTTGCTCTTTTAGTTCTGTGAGTTTCACTTTCTGTATTACATTTTTGACAAAATGATTTTTTAACCAAACAGAAAATCCAATACTTAGAGCTAAGCAAAAAAAAATATTAGCTGCTCATTCATTTGCTTTAAAAAAATATATGGAAAAACAATGTCAGTTAAAACAAAGATATGAATTCTCATTGGTGCCTATTAAACTGTGTTTCAATTTATATTTCATGTTGAAAGTTTTGTCATAAACACTGGTAGATTGACTCATTGAAACATGATATATAGCATTACAGATTCTTTTTTAGTTTACTTCATGGAGGCTTCAGAAATCTTAGCCCGGGGACCTTTAAGCTACCTTGTAGACTTCTCAAAGCAATATAACAAAGACAGAACTGCAGGCATTATGAATCAAAGAAGAATATTTCCATTCATGTTAAAGGAATTTCTTCAGCATGGAAGATTATAATTCTAAGTCTGGAAGAGCCATTTTCAGGTCTTTTATAAGCAATTCTAGCTTTCCTGAATGTGTTCCTTTCTCTCTCAACGTTTGTCAATTTATTCCTAATTCATTCAAATCACTTGGGCTGCATTTGGAAGTGGCTCATGAAAATTTAAGCAGACAATACCCATTAACATTAATGAACTTCCTAAGGCAAAATCCCCTCATACTGGGATCAATATTAACCTCAGTATGAGGTTAGATTTTACCAAATATTTAGAGAATACCCAATTCTTTAACAATATTCCAAATACTATCTTTAAAACTGGAAAACATTTCTTTTATCCATCCTCGCATTATTGTTTTAACAGAAGATATTGTGGTATTTTACCCTTAAGTTCCATTTTAGCAAAATAATTGTTAACATTTTATTTAAAGAGATATTATGAATTAATACTTTTAAATAATGAAAATAAGTCAGTATGCCTTAGCAAATTGCATTCATGCTAAAGTTTTAGTCTTCTTAACAGGTGATGGCCAAAATCCAAACTGTAGAATAATACTCAAAAATTTTAAATTCGATTTAGATATCATCAGTATTTTCATCGTCATCTCTAATATCGTCAAACTGGATTTAATCATCATCTCCAGGACCAAATGTATTTAATGTCATTGATTTTAGCATGTTCTGAAAGCTCACCATGTGACAAATGCTATTTCAATTACAAAATTCCATTAATCATATAAAACTTAAGTAGCATAACTACTAGATTTGAAAACTAGACCCATGTTTTTTTTGTGAAGGCTCCACCCAAAATTGACTGATATGTTTTTCTCATTGTGTTTCTTCTGTTCTGATGGGGTTTTCAGGCACCGCACTTGTTGTCCAGTGGGACCACGTACATCTCCAGGATAATTACAACCTGGGAAGCTTCACCTTCCAGGCAACCCTCCTCATAGATGGACGCATCATCTTTGGGTACAAAGAAGTGAGTAATGTATTGAAAATTTATTTCACCCTTGACTTTGTCCACTATCTATTCTTTCCTTCAAATGTCAATAAAGAGATGTTTTATAGTAATGAAACTCAAATATTTTCTGATCTCTTGGTTTCTTTACCTTGATTAAAAAAAAAAAGTTTTTAATCTACTGGGTAATACTGTCAATTCTTTGTGTTTTTTAAAAATATTCTTGTACATTGGCATTATAATCCATGAATTTTATAAAATTATTGAATAATTATATTCTAATAATATTATAATAAAATAACTCTAAGAACAAATATTTTCAATTTAGAATGCAATCCTACCTAATAAAAGAGTAATATGCAAATTAACCATAACTACTATATCCACCAGCCAATCAGATCGGGTATGCAAATTAACCCCAAGCAAGATGGCTGCAGCCACAGAGAGCAGTTGAGAGGCTTGGGTTTCCTCGGCAATAAAAGAAGCCAAGCTTTCCACACACCCTGGCTGGCCCAGGCCTCCACTCAAGGATACAAAGTTTCAATTATAGAAGGTAAACAAATTCAAACAGAAATAGCTGCAGCCATGGAGCAAGCAGGAGGCTTGGCTCTGCTCCAGGCTACAAAGTTTCAGTTGTGGAAGATAAATAAACCCCAGATACCAGGGCCTCTGCTTAGGTTGCCAGGGGGCGTGGTTGGCCTACAAACCACCACAGGCCCCTCCCCCAGGCCGCCCCATGCCCCAAGGGAAACCCAGACTGATCTGGGACATCCTTCAGGGCAAACCAGCCTGCCCTCACTCATGTACCAGTCCTCTATCCTATCTAATAAAAGAGTAATATGCAGATTGACCATCATTCCAACACACAAGATGGATGCCCCTATGTGATTAAAGATCCTGCCCCTATGTGGACACAAGATGGCCACCCCAAGATGGCCAGCAGGAGAGGGCAGTTGGGAAGCACCAGACCTGCAAGGGAGGGCAGTTGAGAGGGACCAGGTCTGCAAGGAAGGGCAGTTGGAGGTGATCAACCCTGCAGGGGAGGACAGTTAGGGATGACCAGACTGGCAGAGGAGGGAAACTTGGGGCAAACAGGCTGGCAGGGAGCAGTTAGACATCAATCAGGCTGGCATGGGAGTGGTTATGAGGTGATCAGGCTGGCAGGCAGAAGCAGTTAGGCCAATCAGGAAGGCAGGCAGGCAAGCAGTTGGGACCCAGCAGTCCTGGATTGTGAGAGGGATGTCTGACTGCCCATTTAGACCCGATCTCAGTGAGATCGGGTCTAAATGGGCAGTTGAACATCCCTCAAGGGGTCCCAGATTGTAGAGGGTGCAGGCTGGGCTGATGGACACCCCCCCATTCCGTGCACAAATTTTGTGCACTGGGCCTCTAGTTGTGTGTGTATATCTGTGTGTGTGTGTGTGTGTGTGTGTGTGTGTGTGTGTGTTGATTTTTGCCTTGTCAATTTCTCTGACATTGTTTGAGTCTACCTCCAAAAGTAATAGTAAATGTGAAATCTTGTATGACTCAATGACCCAATACTGAAAGCGTCCCAGGTCAGCGTTTCGCCAACGGTTATTGCAAGCAGATAGGAAAGATTAATTAGAGGTCTACGTGACAGGAAGAACAGGGAATTTAAACGTATGACTTGTTTCATTTTACCAAATGGACAAAGTAAACAATGGAAACTTACTAAATTGTAGCTTGAATTTAAGGAATGTCTAAATTAGAGTAATAGCATGTTTGATTTAAAACTCTATTGACAATGTAATTAAGGTCTATTAGACAACCTAACCTTTGGGGAAAGAAGGCAGTCTGTAAGGATAAAGTTCCAGGAACAACAGAGGTGGTGTTGTAGGCAGCCATTAGGCAGAAGATTTTCTGTCAATGTGGGTTGACAGTGGGCACTATCAGCACATGGACTGATTGGGTGTTTATAATGGTACAGGCTCAATTTCCTATTTTAGTTGAAGAGTTACTTTCCCTTAGGAAAGGAATCCCTGGCTAGTAAGAGGAATTTGACAATATAAAAAGGATTCACTTTGATCAGTCTTCTGAAATTTATCTTTTCTCTAAAGGGAAGGGTAGTTATATTTCAATTAAATAAGCCAACTCTTTGAAAATTCATAACCAGTCCAGATGTCTCTACTCTTTTGAGGAATTCTTGCATGTGGAATTAATCATTTACTTGGGGCAATAGTATCAATAGATTATAGCATAGGATCGATCTGTTCTGCTCAGTGCTCCTTTATCCAGAGCTATGTTTTGATATCATAGCCCACCATATTCTTATACCACTCCTTGGAAGCTGAGAAAAATATAACTCAAAGGGACTTATTCAAGATTTTGTTACAGTCTAGACTACTGCTGGGACTGCAGAGCGATGTTATGGAATGTGAGTTTTCAACAGTTTTAGCCAAGAGTGGTAAAGTTTCTGGAAAGACTCAGGGTCAGTAAGTCTAGAATCTTAAACCTCAACAACTGTATCCTTTGGCAAAACAGAGGTCTGTGCTCTTATTGTGGTCTCTCTCTCTAGTCTTTATATCAAAACTGCCATCTTTATTTACACTGTCCTCAATGGGTGTCTTGCATTGAAGAATAATGGTTTATTTTTCCTTTTCTCTCTTTACAGCAGGTTTATTTTTTAATGTTTTTTTTTTCTTTATTTTAATCAAAGAAAAATTATTGTAGTTTTTCTGTTTGGAATAGGGAATATTAGACTGGGAGGCAATTAGAACACTGTCTTGTTGAACATCAGTCCTTCTGAACTCAGAGTTCTAAAGAAGTCATTACATTTTATTTGTCTTGCTCTCCTTTCTCTCCTGGTTAGGAAGCAGTTTCTTACTTCTTATTCTACCTTTTATTTCCTGATAATTGTCATGAATTTCATTTTGTAGAAGCAATTTCTCTTTGTAAAACTTGCCACAATGAATGTACCTGTGCATTTGGGATGAGATCCAGGTGCTCCTGCCACTTCTAGAAAACAGTGTTTATAATCATGATAGCATAAACTAGCTGCTTACAGGATGTCCTGCCCTTGACAGATGCTTTCACATACATTATCATTTCCAATTCTTCAACAATATACTATGTTCCTAATATTCTTAATCCTCACAAAGGTGATGGCACATAGAAGGTGTTTAATAAATGTGCCTGACTTAGGTAATTATGGAATTAGATCATGCACAATTAACTATATTTTACAGCTAAACAGACTGAGTCAGAAAGGTTGAATGACATACTTGAAGTTTCAGAGTTAACTGAGGGCAAATCCAAGGCTAAAAACCTTAATTTCAGTGACTCCAAGTGACCTCAATATTAAAAACTTGTTTAAACTGTAGAGTAAAATTATCAGGTATTAAAATTATTAATTAATGATGCATTAAATAAATTTATCAAAACAAATTTTATTTTATTACCCTCAAGTGATTTATTATGGTAGCTAATTATGTTTCTCTTAATAACTCTGGATGTACTCATAGTAACCACTCTAATGATCTCCAATTCTGTCATGTCTTATATAGTGTCATTTCTTTAACAAGTAAGTTTTAGAGTGCAAAGTAGATAATCAATAAATTAGAAAATACACTCGCACTTCTCATAATAAACTTGCTTGTAGTGGGACTGAGTAGGAAAATCCTACTGCTGTCTAAAATGAGTGGTTGCAGATTTGCTTATAGCTCTCAGTGTTCCTTCACCGAAGTCGCAGCGCTCTAACAACACTGGTGGAGGCACCAGTTCCTTTACATAATTCTCTCCTGAGGCTATAGCTCTGTATTATTCAACCAACTATGTGAAATTCTCTTTTAAGTTCTAGACCTTTGTTGTTACACAGCTGTTAATTTTCATTAACTTCAAAAACACAGTTTACTTAGGATGATCCTAAAGCCAAAAAAAGTGTCCTCCTTTTAAAAATGTCCTCTCAAATGATCAATTCTTCACTTTAATCCATTTTTCAATTTCAGGATATCCATCTTTTTCTTTTGCATAAATTTAATTATCTCATGAAATTAACCATTTTATCTATTTTTTTAGATCTATTAATAACAGTTCTTTTAAAGCTTGTGGTGCAGGTAACTCAAATATCTAGTTTTCTTATGGGTCTGTTTCAGACATCTGCTTTTTCCCCCCTCTGTAGCCTTTTATTCATGGCTCATGGCTCCCTAGGTAATTTTTTTTATCAAATGCATTTGCTTACAAAATACTAAAAGAGATACTGTGAGATTGTAGAAGCTGTTTTCTTCCCCCAGAGAGGGTCTACTATTTTTTTTTGTTTGGATGGAAAGAGTAATGCTGTGCAGTGCTCAGCTCATTCTAAATCGAACACAAGTGCTTGTAAAGGCTGTATAGTTCTGATTAGCGTTTACCCTTTGTTGTGGGGTCGAACCCTGGGTTCAAAATAAGACCACCAGAGGCTGATAATTTATTAAAAAAAAAAAAATAGGAGGCAAGAATTTATTGAACTGGCCAGGGCAGCCGCAAGAGCACCACACGCAGGCAGACCCTACACGACTGCCCTGCTTTAGGGGCAGGTAGTTATTTTTAAAGGTTCTGAGAAAGAAAACCTCCATTCTGCAACAAACTGTTGTTTGGAATTTTCTGCTGTTCTTCCTAGATGAACTGTTGTTTTCTAGTTGCTTTAGCCCGTTTGAAGAATGATGAAGATAAACTTAGCTGTCTGACCTTGCAGGCCAGAGACCAGATATGCCCACAATCTCAATACCATGCCAGGTGCACTTTTTTTTTTTTTTATTTGGATAGAATAACATTGTTTTCGAGGCCAGCATCGAGATAATCACTCAGTGTACATAGGGCTGACTCTTTAATGAAAAAGAAAGTTCTGCCTGTAACCTTGCCCAGAACTTGAACTCATCCTTCCTAAGCCCATAGCACGATGGACAAAGCAAGTCTCTTCAAATTCTCCCCGTGTACCGTCCGACCGCTCGGGAACTCTGCAACAGTTCAAACCACAGGAATTTTCCTTTGTTCTAAATTCTGAATCCTAAAGACTATATTCTAAA